TAGAGGGAGACGCATCAGCTTCGTCTTCTCCCGTCTGGATAGATGAGGCAGGAAAGATGCAATCAGCAGTGGTGACCAACCACAGCTCAGAGAGTACCAGGGTAGCCATAGTTGGTTTGTAGACGAAGATTAGGGACTTGGCACTTGGCGTAGATGTTGTTGTTTTTTTTTCTGGTCAAGGTCACATGCTTTGCTCGCAGGCTGGATCCCATCCCCAGACTCCGCTCCGGGGGACGCCGCCGGCGCCGCCGCCGCGGTCCGCACTTCTTGATCCCCCCTTCGCCAAGATGGCGCCGCCGGCACCTCCGGGACAGGGCCCCCCCCTCCGCTCGCCGCTCCCCCCACCCCCAGCCGCCGGAAGCCGCGCGCCCCTCCTCCTCCTCTTCGGGAGCCCCGCCTCCACCCCTCACGTGACCTCCCCGCTTGGCCTCGTTCACGTGACCTCTCCTTCTTTCCCGCCCCCTTGTTCTCGACTGCCACCCTCCACATGTGACCGCGGCTCTGGGCTCGCCCGCTTTAAGCGCCTCAGTGCGTGCTGACGCACAGCGTGCGTGCGTGCGTGCCTGCTCTCCCCGCTCACGTGACCCGGCCCGCGTGCTCCCAGGGGCTCCCCGCGCGGGACTCTGTTTCCTGCTCTGGGTCCCTTTCCCTGCGTCTCCACGTCGCGGCCGGCGTGCTGGGCGCTCGGTGGGCAGAGACGGAAGAGGGGGACCTACGGGGGCCGCCGTGCCGCCGCCATCCTGCGCCCCCACGCCGGTCCTCGGCGCAGGGTCCGCAGCCCCGGCCCTCGTGAGGCCACGTGGGCATGCCCGGTCGCCACGCCGAATAAGGGGCGCGTAGCTGGGGAAGGAGATAGGGACCCGGTAGCAAGAGTCTGGGATTCTCGCCCGGCCCAGCCGCTGGTTCGTTCCGTTGTGTGACTTGGGTCGACTGCCTTCCTCCAGTCGCCTCATCTGTACAGTGACCGGTGAGGGCAATGCCCGCTCTGCCTACTCCCGAAGATTCGATGCCAGGGGACCGCCAAGTGTGGGATAGATCGCTGGTCCATTAAGTGTGAGATTGCTGACCCTTCGCGCTGATCATGTCCAGGGGTCTGGACGAGGTCGGGGAGGGACAGCGTGGGCTTCCCAGGGTCACGGGAGGAGAGCTTCAATAGTCCAAACCACTCGCCTGGACGGAGGATGGAAGGAGGCGGGCCCCGAGGACCGCGTTCTCCGTCCCCAGCCCGGAGCCTGAAGGGCTGACATGTCGCAGTGGTCCCTGCAGTTGCCGGGAGTAGGGAGCGGGCGGCAGTGCCCCGGGCCCTCGCTAGGTGGCACTGTCACCCAGGACAAAGCTGGCTGAGGGTCCAGCGACCCGGAGCCGGCGTCCCTCTGCCAAATGTGAACCTGGGGAAGGGCCTGGATTCTGCTGCGCCAGCTCGGCGCTTGAGCCCCTGGCGGATTGCCACCGTCCTCTCTCCCGTACGGACCCAAATGAGCCGGCCTTTGTTGGAAGTTGACTGAGCGCTTTGGTGCTGGGTTACTCATTTAAGTAGTCAGTGGGCTTGGTAAGGGCCTTCTTTGGTTAAGTCGGGCTCTGGGTATTTACAGATGGTTGGGACATGGTCCGCACGACCAGGAATGTGTCTTCTTTGGGGAGCCCGAACAGTTAGCTATACGGAGCATAAAAGGCTGTAGTAAGGATTCCCATTTATTGAGCACTTCCTAAGCCAGGGTATCTTGTACATATTTCTAACCCCCTACCCCACAACAACGTTGCAAAGTAAGCATTTTGTACCCCTGTTTTACAAGTGGGGGGAAGGAATGACTGCCCAAGGATATACAACTAGTAGGCAGCGTTTTTGGGTGTGTCTCCAAGGTTCCTGCCCTTCTATCCCACTCTGCCTTCCTCTGATGCTTAAAATAAAAATAAAAATCCTTATTGATTTTAGAGAGAGAAAAACATTGATGTGAGAGAAAAACATGGATTGGTTTCCTCCCACACACATCCGGACTGAGGGTATGCTCTGAATGGGAATCGAACCTGAAACCTTTTTGGTGTGCGGGATGCTCCAACCAACTAAGCCACCCAGCTGGGGCCTCTGATTTTTTTTTTTTTAAGCCTCTATTCCTGTGTCTCACATCGGGCAAGTGGAGAAGAAAATCTGGTGCTTCTTCCTTCGGCACCAATGGGAGATTTAAGCCAGGTAAGCCCCTGCCTGAATGCATGGCCCCTTATCTGGGTCCCACCTCACCACCATGTATTTTTGCCTGTGAGAGTTTATCTATGAAAAGCACTTAAAACAGCCCCTGGCACATAGTAAGTGCTATGTAGGTGTTAGTCATCACTACTATTGTAATTGCTGTCGTTGTTGGTCTCATCACTGGAGAAAAGGACTGGATATCTGTCCTTCCGACATACACATATACATCTGTGTGTCCCTTCAGCCCTGTGCCATTCCCAGAAAGGGCCCAGAGTGATTTAGCGTCCTAACCTCCACTTTTCCCTATAGAGCAGTGGTTCTCAACCTTCTGGCCCTTTAAATACAGTTCCTCATGTTGTGACCCAACCATAAAATTATTTTCGTTGCTACTTCATAACTGTAATGTTGCTACTGTTATGAATCGTAATGTAAATATCTGATATGCAGGATGGTCTTAGGCGACCCCTGTGAAAGGGTCGTTCGACCGCCAAAGGGGTTGCGACCCACAGGTTGAGAACCTCTGCTATAGAGGAATCCCTTATATTAGATATGTCTGATTCCTCATTCATCTTGTGGACAACAAATTCCTAAACAAGGAATTCTTGGAAATAAGGACCTAACTTCATGTCAACACCTCAGTGAAATTTTCCTAATTTGCCCACATAAAGTTCACAATGTGGTCCTGTGGCCGTACCCCCCATCAAAGCATTTTTCACACTGTGCTGGCGTCTTTAAATACTTGCTGTTCCCACCAACCTGTGAGCTTCTGACGCCCACAAACTGCTGGCTTGTTTCTGTATGCCCTTCCTTTTTTGCCCTGAAGTGGCCTTCTGGAAGTGCAGCTCTCTCTGTGTTTAACCTTTTCCTGGCCTCGGGCAGCCATGTTTTTCCAGGCTCATGCGGACGGTGAAAAGTGAGAACGTGGCTGGTTCTCCCCCAGCCAGAGGCATTGCAGTCATTTCTTGATAGGCTTTTCTTTGATGTATGGTATCCTCATACCATCCAGGTGTCTGCAGGACTCGAAGTCTGTGCATCACACATATTTGTGTTCCTTAGACTTCCTATCACAATGCCTGACTTCCTGTCACAAGCCAGTTAATGAATGAATGAGCCCAAGATGTCTGGAGACCTCCCTCTGCCAAGAGGTGTGTAAAGCTGATGGCATTTCTTAGCACAGGTAGTCAAGCTACAGTGTTTCTCTCTCTCATCTTCTTCAAGAGGTTTTCGTATGTCACTTGGCTCTAGCCCTTACCCCAAAACCCTACAAATGCAGCCATTTGGAAGATCCTGAATTCCATATTTTAGCAATGACTTTCATGAGAACAAAACAAGGTGGCTCATTGGTTAGAGCGTTGGCTCACAGACTGAAGGGTCACAGGTTCAGTTCTGCTCAAGGGCATGTACCTCCGTTGCAGGCTTGATTCCTGGTCCCGGTCAGGGCATGTGCAGGAGGCAACCAATCGATGTCTCTCTCCCTCTCCCTCTCTCTCTCTCTCTCTCTCTCTCTGTCTCCCCTCCTCCCACCATTCTCTCTAAAAATCAATGGGGAAAAAATACCCTTGGGTGAGGAGGATTAACAACAACAAAGAATAAGCCAAGGCGATGAGATGGTCCCATAATGTTGCACAGACTCCCAGTCCCCCAGTGAGGAAACTCAAACATCATGGTCACCGGGATGAGGCCTGTCGCTTCCTCTCTGCTGGTCTGTTCAGTACCTCAGCTCTCCGGCTGAGAGAGCCCTCTGGGGGAAGCCTAGTAGGTAGTCATATCTGGCGTTCTGCTAAAATGTGAAGGGAAGGGGCATGACAAATGGGATGGAGGTGGTGCATATATTCATTTAATGAATATATTAAAGAATCACTGCCCTCGTGGAGCTTACATTCTGCTGGGGAAATAGACGTGATAAAGGTGGAGTCTGTAAAGCCAGCCGACTCCCTAGATGTAAGAGATGATGAGCAAGTATTTACTGAGCACCTACTACATGTGAGGCACTGGGATGCAGCATTACATGAGACAGAACCAGTCCTCACCTTTTCTGTGCGTTCAGGCTGGTAGAAAACCAGATACTTTATGAATTGTTACACATCCAGTCACTTAACTGCAATGGCCTATGAGGGGAGGAAGGGCTGGACGCTGACGCAGGCGGAAGGGACAGCGCACGCAATAGTTCTGAGGTAGGACCATGGCAAGTTGGAGGACCATGGCAAGACACAGGAAAGAAGGCCTGTGTCTGAAGCAAGGGAGAGAGATACAGGTAAGGCAGGCAAGGCTTCCATCTGGGCAGGCACCCACAACCATGTTTGGGAACTGGGGCTTGATTTTAAGATCAAGGAAGATGAAAAGATCACTAGAATTCTGAGAAGCCGTGCAACCTGGGCAGCTAATAGCAGGAGCATTAACAGAATCTCACGAGACGTCTCAGGAGAGCTGAGTTCCGTGGGAAGAGCGGAGAGTTGGGTTATAAATATACTGAGTGTGTGAGGGAGGGGAGATGTGGGACATTCTCCTGGAGACGCCCGGCGGGGTGTGTTCTGAGCTCAGGAAAAAGGCAGAGCCACAGGTGTTCATTAGAGAATCGGCTACATCTGTCCTTTGAATTAGCCCATGAAGGAGGCAGCACAGCTGAGTGGAAGGAGCATGGACGGGGGAGTCGGACAGAACGGAGCTTGGGTTTGAATGCATCGGCTTTGCTGGCTGTGTGAGCTTGGGCGAGTGATTTAATTTCTGTGAAACTCAGTGTCCTCATCTGTAGAATGGGCACGATGCTCGTTCTGCCTTGCAGGGTGGATCCTTGTTCCAGTTTAGATGAAATGAGATATGTAAAATGATGAACACTGGTGGGCCCATGGTACATTGCTCAGCACATGTTAAATACGACTATTCCTACGATTACTGTTATTGCTACAAAGTCAAAAGGTACTCGCCATTCAGTAACCATGGATGGGGCTTGCCATGTGTCGGACACAGGTCTAGGTATGAACATATAGCAACAGGCAGGCAAGATTCCTGCTCTCTAGCCCTTGTTTTCTAGTGCAGAGTCAGAGACCAGACCAATGAATGACTAGAAGAGTGACTGGTAAGTATTTGCTAGGAATTAGAGTAGGGTCACGTGGCAGAGGAGGACTGGGGTCACTTTCAGTCCACTAGTCAGGGGAGGGCTCCCTAGGGGGGCAGTGTTTGAGCTGAAATTTGAAGAAGAGAAGGTAGTCTGGCAGGAGAGAAGAGCCTTCCAGCAAGGAGAGCAACAATTTCAGAGACCCTGAGTGAGCACACAGATGCTGGTCTAGAACTAGGAAGCTCATGACATGCTGGCTGAGCTTATGGGCTCTGAACCCCAGCTCTGGCAGCTGTTAATGGTGTGACTTAGCCTGGATGTACTTCAGTTTCCACATCTGTAACGCGTAGATCATAATAGTACCTACCTCATAAGGCCGGTGGGAGGATTAAGTGAGATACACGAAAAGTGCTTAGAACAGTGCACAAAGCAAGAACTTGGTTTTTCACCCAGCTGGTGGTGGTCAGTGGTTGAGCATTGACCTATGAACCGGGAGGTCACGGTTTGATGCCCGGTCAAGGTACATGACTGGGTTGAGGGCATGATCCCCGTGTGGGGTGTGCAGGAGGCAGCCAATCAATGATTCTCTCTCACCATTGATGTTTCTGTCCCTCTCCCTTCCTCTCTGAAATCAATTAAAATGTATTTTAAAAAGAACTTGGTTTTTCAAAAATGAGGGGATTATTATACCTTGAGTCTAGTGGAAAAAAGAGAGGGGGTGGTAGGGTAGGCGATGAGGCCAGTGAAAAAAGCAAGGGCTGGATTATAGAGGCCACAGTCAGTGTCTGGGTTTTATTCAAAGTACAGTGGGAAGCCCTTGAACGATCTTAAGCTGTGAGTGACATGATCTGACTGGAAATTTTAAAAGATCATTCTGGCTGCTGTATGTAAAGTGGATCATAGGGATTTTTTTCTTCTAAAGGTCATGTGTTATCAGAATAAGCAGACGCTCTTATTTGGGGCAGAGTGAGCATCCTTCCCTTTGACTTGCTCCCAGAAGCATAGCACTCTGACACCGACGCACAAATATGGCCTGAGCCCTGGTGCTTGGTCAGGAACTATAGTGGGCACTGGGGATGCAGAGACAAAGAAAATACAGTCCCGTGGGTAGTGCTTGGCTTCATTCCTGGCACACAGGAGGGGCTCCTTACATGACAGCTGCTCCTCGTCATTTTTGTGTATTTCTTACTCCCGCCCTCAGGAGCACATGGCAGTGGGTGAACGGGGCCAGAGATAATCAACTAGTACAATGTGGCGAACAGTCATAGGGATGAAAGGTGAGGGCCTTGAAGGCTGATATTATTCAGGATTAACTCCAAGAAAGAATGTGACAGAAGTTACTTAGACGGAAATGAAGGGATTTTCTGAGAGAACTGACCCTTAAAGTAGGAGGAGGTTGGGAAGAAAGGCCCCAAGACGAAGGAGGAAGGACTTAGGAGAAAAGAAGAGAAAGACAAGGAGGGGCTCAGCTCAGCATAGGCAAGACTGTAGAGATGTTGGCCATCGGTGATTTAGGCTGAGGCCCTCTGGAGGTGGAATAAGGTAAGTATTTAGCAATAAATAATAAATAATCAAAAAAACTTTAAAACCTTTGGCCCAGCAATTTCACTTGGAAATTATTAAAGACATATGCAAAAATGTACCTACAGTAGAATACTTTGTAACAATTTAAAAAGTCACCAAAGAAACAAAAGGCGTCAAAGAATGCTTATTGGCATAAAGAAATGTTTGAGAAATAGTAAATGAAAAACGAAGATTACAAAACTGTATCATAGCATATTCCTTTTAAAAATAAATTCAGATGTACACAATTTAGTTATGTACCAAGCAGGAACGCATATATTTGTACACCAAGAATATGAACAAGAATGTTCATAGAAATATGTTTAATAGTCCAAAATAGGAAACAACTGCCCTGGCCAGGTAGCTCAGTGGGTTAGGGCATTGTCCTGCTAAGCCAAGATGTGGGTTCGATCCCGGTCAGGTTCTGACAAGAATCAACCAGTGAATGCATAAATAAGTAGAACAACAAATCACTGTTTCTCTTTCTCTCTCTCCCTTATTCTCTCTCAAAATCAAAAAATAACAAAACAAAATAGTAAACAACCCAAATAAGTGATGGTATATTCATACAATGGCATATTCTATAGCAATGAGATGAATAAACTACAACTACATTCAACAATGTCAATGATTCTCATTAGCATAATGTTCAAAACACAAAAGATCATGATCCCATTTATATGAAATTCAGCAGGCAAAGTTGATTTGTGGTCTTAGAAGTCAATAGCGGTCACTTGTATTTTTAGGCATGTTTTCTTTTTTTAAAAAAATATATTTCATTGACTTTTTTACAGAGAGGAAGTGAGAGGGATAGAGAGTTAGAAACATCGATGAGAGAAACACCGATCAGCTGCCTCCTGCACGCCCCCCACTGGGGACGTGCCCGCAACCAAGGTACATGCCCCTGACCAGAATCGAACCTGGGACCCCCCAGTCCGCAGGCGGATGCTCTATCCACTGAGCCAAACCGTTTAGGGCTAGGCATGTTTTCTTAATTGTGGGAAAATACACATAACATAAAATTTACCATTTTAACCATTTTAAAGTGTACAATTCAGTGGCATTCATTAGAGTCACAATGTTGTGTAACCATGACCTCTATCAGTTCCAGAACTTTAACAGTACCCACTGAGCAGTCACTCCCCATTCCTCCCTGCCCCCATGATGTTACTTTTGAAGAGGAGAGAATAATTACGGGTGTGTGTGTGGGGGGGGGGGGGGAAGGACATAATGAGGGACTTCTGGATATTAATAGTGTTCTAGTTTTTAAAAGTCTGGGTGGGGATTATATAGCTGTGTTCGTGTGAAAATTTACCTAGCTGTACATTGATAATTTATATACTTTTTGGATGTATGTTATATCTAAGTATACATAAATGTGCAGATCAGTTGATTTATAATGCCTTTAAAAGAAAATGTTCCTTACCATCAGAGGCAGAGGGAGTGTCACACCAAAGGTGGCCTGGTCCCTGGTTTGCCTCGGGGCTGATACTTCTATATCTGCCCATCACCCTGCATGGTTTCGGACCTGCCCCCTCTCTCTGGCTGCCTTGCTTCCTGGTGGGGATGGAAGGAGTGTGGGGGGGAGAATGAGGGAGAGAGGATGTTCCAGTTCTCCTTGGCCACTGGGTGGTTGTGCTGAGAGGATTCACTCCCTGCCAGGCTGGAATTAATCTTCACGTAAAAGCTGGGGAATGTGAAACGATAAGGTCAAGGCCAAGGTGAGCAGACGGCCTGGACTGGCCTAAAGGAGCTTCAGGTAGCAACCAAGGGCTTCAAGAAAGCAAATGTCCCTCTTGTCTATCAAACCAGAGACAAGCAAGCACTCCAGAAAGAGATGTTCTTTTTTAAAATAGGTTTCTATTTCAGAGAGAGGAAGGGAGAGCGAGATAGAAACATCAATGATGAGAGAGAATCATTGATCATCTGCCTCCTGAACTCCCCCTACTGGGATTGAACCCACAACCCAGGCATGTGCCCTGATTGGGAATCGAACTGTGTCCTCTTGATTCATGGGTCGATGCTCAACCACTGAGCCACACCAGCTGGGCCAGAAAGAGATTCTCATAAAGGAAGCCCTTTTCAATCACCCACACCCACCAAAAGAGGAAAGTACTAAGTTCTATCTACATGCAAGCTCCCAGTCCCTCTCTTTCAGGAATTCAAAATTAAGCCACCCTGGTCTTACTGGCTTTCTCATCTTTCAAATCTCAGTTTTTATCTTCATCCCCTCTAGGCACTCAGACATTACTAGCCTCTCCCTCTTCTGTGCTTCCATAGCACCTTGTTTACAGCTCTACGGAGCAGCCACCATATTGTGTCATAAGTCTTTGTTACCAAACTGTGGCAACAAAGCTGGGACTAGGTCTTTTTGATCACTGCATCTCAACACCTATGCAGTAGATACCGAACAAACATGGGTCTGATTGTTGAAGGTGGACCTTCTTTGACCCTTTCCCCACATGCTGTGACGGCATACATTCCTTTCCTTCTCTGTAGGCTTTTGTTCTTCAATCCTTTCCTTGATTCCAAGATTTTCTAAATTCTTCAGATGGTATTACATGTTCCTGCCTGCATTTGCCTTGGAGCCTGTGGAGCAGGTTTATGGCTCACTTCCATGGGCAGTACGGAGCCTGCAGCCATCCCACTTCTCTCCAGTCCTTTTTCGGGTACTTGTCCTGCTCTTCCTTCACAATTCCAGGACCTGAGCTTTTATTTATTTTCCCAGTTTCCAAAGGCTTTATTAGTAAATATGCGTTAGAAAAAGGATAGATCCTATTGCTCCCAAGTCAATGGACGGAAGAGCCAAAGGGGACTGATGCTTTGTCCACCTCTTATTCATAGATCCAGCCAAAGGCACAGACATGTAGTCACCAATTCTTTGGACTTAAACCACAGGCTGATTTCTCTCTCGGCACTTTTTACTGAATCACTGCAGTGAATGATGTTCCTGCCAACTTGAATGCAAAAGTCTCCGTGAATGGTGCCTGGCTTAGAATCTGCTGGATTGGTCTCCCCAAGCATCACTCTCCCTGTCTTCACCACATTCAGCCCCTCCCAGACCACGGTCACCACAGGCCCAGAGCTCATGTACGTCACCAGCCCAGGGTAGAATGGGTGGTCTTTCAGGTCAATGTGGTGCTGTTTCAGGAGTTCCTCAGAGCCCCGGTGGACATGCATGGTGACGAGGCGGAACCCCTTCTTCTCGCACTTGATGCTGCTGCCCATCAGGCCGCACTGCACGCCGTCAGGCTTGATGGCGAGGAAGGTGAGCTCCATGCTGGCTCTGTTCCAAGAAGCGGGCTGGCCTGGCAGCTATGCTGCTCTGAACAGCCAGAGCCCAGGAACGGAGCTTTTAGAGGGGAATGTTCCTCTCCACAGTAAAGGGTGTCAGTCCTGTACTAGCCCTATTTGTTGAGCCCTCACCATATGCCAGGCACTGAGCTGGCTCATGGTCTAGCAGGAGAGAGTCACAGCCTTAGACTGGTTCATTTAGTCATTGGACATCCTCTGGAAACATATAGGAAGTCATCTGATTTAGTCCTTGGTCAGGCATAGCTTCCTTAAGGAACTGACATTTCTGCCAGATGTTCAAAGGTAAGTACATGGAGGTTGAGGGGAATGGGTAACAAAAGAACCAAGTGAACTACATGTTTAAAGGGCCGTGAAGTATAGAGGACGGAAGGGAGAGAATGTGCAAGGATCTTGAAGACATTGCCAATATTTGAAGTGTGGAGCCGGGGGTAGGGGTGCCGATGAGGTTGAAGAAGTAGGCAGAGATGGAATAAGACAGAGCCTTGATACATGATAAGCCTGCTTTAGTTGGGAACCTTTTGGTTGAAAGTGACAAAAATCCACCTAAGAAAAAAGGGAAGCTTTTATTGGCTCAGAAGCTAAGAGTTCAGGGCTTTCAAGATCAAAGATGGCATTGAATTTTGACACCTCTCTCTGTCTCATCTGTGCTTTCCTTTGTGATCGCTTCATTCTGGGACTGGCCTCTGTGAAATGGTCTTCTGATCCTCCTCCTCACACAGAAGCCGGAGACTGGAGTGGAAGGGGGTGGGGGGTGAAAGGCTAACCGATGGAAGCCACTAATCTTCCTTCCACTCTCCAAGACCTTTGTTACCTTCTCTTCAGGCCACGGCCAGAGGTCCTCACCTTAGACTTCTTGGCCTTTTAGGGAATTTATGGAGGGACCCTGTTCCCAGACTCCAAAGCTTTCGTTTTCTTTTCTTTTTTATTTTTTGCTTTCGTTTTCTTAAGGTTAGCAAGCCCACAGTCCCCTATCTCTTTTCCGTAGGGCATTTTCTCTGCTGCATCCTCAGCCTCGCCGCCGGGAGGCAGGAATCTCTGGGTTTGATAAGAGAAAAAAGGAGAGCGGGGACCCAGAACCTCCTCCCGACTTCCGCCCCCTCATTCTGGCCTCCAGATCCTCTGCACTAAGCGGGTCCTGACCTATTTGCCAGACTCGCTGTTCCTCCCTCCTCTCCTCAAACCACCTCCGCGTCCTGCCCCAGCTTCTGGGTTTCACAACTCCTGCACCGTCGGCGAGCCGCCCTTTTGCTTGACACACCCCCTAACTAACCAGGACCAGCAAAAGAAGATCCCATCCCGAGACCCCCTTTTTTTTACTGGGTTCCTGGCGCTTCCGCCTCCGGGGCGAAGACTCCTCCCCCTCCCCGTCCCAATTGTATTCCCTGGAAGAGCAGCCGGAAAAGCCGCCGCCGCCAGAAGCGGGTCCCTCCTCGCAGCCCCGTGCACGCCCCACAATTGCCGCGGCATCCTGGGCCCCGCTCCCAGCCGGGCGGGCGGCGCGGGCTCCGGCGAGACTTCAGCACCACGGACAGCACCCGGCCCGGCCCTCAGGCCCGCCCGCCCTCGGCGCGCTCCCGCGGGTCTAGGTGCGGCGGCGAGCGATGCCCACAGCATGGCCTGGTGCTCCGAGCCCATGGCGCTGCTCCTCGGTTTCGGCCTCCTCTGGCTGTGCTCAGGTAACCACAGGCCACTGTCTCACCCCGGTCAGGCTCAGAGGTGGAAGGAAGGGGTTCCTAGAGATGGGGGGGTCTGCTGGGAGTTAGGGGAGACCTTTGGGCCTGCAGGGAGGCCCTGGGGCACTGCCCTGGGAGGAGGACATACCCTAAGGACATACCCTAAGGAGTAAGGAAGAGGTAGAAACCTGGGCAGTGGTGCTGGGAAGGGAGTGGACACACAAAGGAAGGAGGGAGGGAATCTCCCCTGGCGTTCTAGGCCAGCAGGAGGGCAGGCTCTGCAGCTGAGACGCTGTGTGAAGCATTCTATCAAGAAATCTACCTGGTTCAGCACCCTCCTTTGTCTCTCCATCATTCCCTGCCCACCACATTGGGGTCCTGATTCTGGTCGCTCCACAGGGGCAAGGCAGGAGGGGGGAGAAGTGACTTCAACTCTCTCCTAGGGCAGGACAGAAGGCTTGGAGGGCATAGGCTCTGCCAGGCTGGGGCCAGGGAGGAGCACTCAGAGGGGGTGGGGGGTGTTTGTGCAGAGTTACAGACGGTGATAGAGTGTATGAAGGGCAGGTACAAAGGAAATGTACGACCTAAGGAGACTTCCACACGTGGAGGCACGTAACGTGACTTGCACGCATAGATGAGCACTGACTGAGGGGAGAGGGTGTGTGGTGGGACATGAGTAACGGTTCCTTTTGACCACCCTCCAAAACCACCCTGGAATGGTAGGTATCTTCTAGGACAGCGGTTCTCAACCTGTGGGTCGCGACCCCTTTGGGGGTCGAACGACCCTTTCACAGGGGTCGCCTAAGACCATCGGAAAACACATATATAATTACATATTGTTTTTGTGATTAATCACTATGCTTTAATTATGTTCAATTTGTAACAATGAAAATACATCCTGCATATCAGATATTTACATGACGATTCATAACTAGCAAAATTACAGTTATGAAGTAGCAACGAAAATAATTTTATGGTTGGGGGTCACCACAACATGAGGAACTGTATTAAAGGGTCGCGGCATGAGGAAGGTTGAGAACCACTGTTCTAGGAGAAGCCATGGAAACATGGGTTTCTCTTGAAACCACCCTCTGAGACCTCGCAGGAGAGCAGGTCTCCACTGATCCTTGCAGAATGGTTTCTGAGTCTGGAGGACTCTGTGTTGGGCTGTCTGGGTAACTTGGTCAGTGATCCCAGGGAGGAATTTCTCTCTGAGGGGCCTCTATGGGGAAACCTAAGCATTTGGATACCTTAGGGATGGAGCACTGGGGAAGCTACGGCCTCCTGTCTGGGCCTGGGCTGCCCCATTTGACTGGGGCGAGTGGAATCCTGGGTGGGCCTTTCTTGCCTCTTTACTTACTTCCTGCCCCTCAACCTATTGCCCAGGAGTCTGGGGTACGGACACAGAGGAGCGGCTGGTGGAGCATCTCCTGGATCCTTCCCGCTACAACAAGCTTATCCGCCCAGCTACCAATGGCTCTGAGCTGGTGACCGTACAGCTCATGGTATCACTGGCCCAGCTCATCAGTGTGGTGAGTGGGGGTCCCAAACCCTCTGCTCAGCTGCTGAAGTCAACACGCCAGAATGTGTTCGTGTTTGTGCTTGCTCCTCTGGAGTTCCCAAGGCCTGGGGGGTGTGGGAGGAGCCATGGGTGGGTGTGGTGGGCCCAACGGCTGGAGGGCCTTCTCAAGGGCTTCTCTTCTTTCCTGTAGCATGAGCGGGAGCAGATCATGACCACCAATGTCTGGCTGACCCAGGTTAGTGCTCTTCCCACCCCTGGTCTTCTCTTTCCTCCTTTTCCCTTTCTTTTCGTGTGTCTTTTCCCTCCTTTAATCTCCCGAAAAGAGGCCGAAAGGTATAGACTTTGGAGTCTTAATTAACTGGATTTGCATCTTGGTTCTTCCACTCATCAGCTCTGTGACTTGAACATGTTAAACTCTGCAAGATTGGTTTTCTCAGTTGTAAAATGTGGATTCTAATATCATGGGTTAGCTGTTAAAATTAAATGAGAAAGTATTTTATGATTCACATTTGCTGGGCAGAGAAGTCACTGTGGGAAGGTGATGGCTTGAAAAGCTTCCTCAAGCCAGACGGGCCCCCTCTTGTCCCTGTTCTTCACCTTGAGCCCTTCCCAGGGCAGAGGTTGATGTTGCCTCCCTCTCTCCCTTTCTCAGGAATGGGAGGATTATCGCCTTACTTGGAAGCCTGAGGAGTTCGACAACATGAAGAAAGTTCGGCTCCCTTCCAAACACATTTGGCTCCCAGATGTGGTCCTATACAACAAGTAGGTGACCCTGGAGTAACGGGGAGGCTGGGGGAGACCATGGCAGTGCTCAGGGAAGGAAGGGGTCTTGGGGAAAGTAAATCAGTTCCTGCTGGGTAGAGAAGATATTTTTCTTTGGCAAAGATTCAGTGACTACCTAGATAGACAGACCCAGACCAGAGATGTATAATATGGACGGCCAAGGTGATTAGCCCATGGTCAGCCCCCTCTCAGTCAGTTAGGAGTCCCAGTGTTTGGAGCTGCAGTGGGATAGAAATAAGGATGTGCCCAAACTGATTCACAGTTCAATTCCCCGTCAGGTCACATGCCTGGGTTGTGGGCTCCATCCCCATTGGGGGGTATGCAGGAGGCAGCCAATCAATGTTTATCTCTCATCATTGATGTTTCTGTCTCTCTCTCCCTCTTCCTTCCTCTCTGAAATCAATAAAATATATATATTTTAAAAAAGGAATAGACTTTTCCTGGAGGTTTAGGCAAGATCAGAGAACATGGAGGTCTCAGTTTCTCCTCCAGGTTCCATACCCTCTCCTGAAATAATAAATAATCCCTCTTACCCCCAAGATCCAAAACCACCGGTGGGACCATCTCTTGCTCCCACCTGCCTCTGTCCCCCTCCATTGCTCGGGGAGCCTCATTCTGGCCTCCCTGGCTCCCCCAACCCCTCCATCCGCATGTGAAACAAACAACTTACACAATGCATGACAAGCAGCAGGCGTGTCCCTCACCCCCTTCCTCCAGTTCTCCATCTCTGAGGGGCCTCACAGATCTCCTCAGAGAACACCCCTTCTCCCCACAGTCCCACCCAGACACCATTCTTGCTCCATTCCTGCTCTACCACCTGATACTCCGGCCGTGGGTTTCCTCTCCTCCCAGCGAGGGCTGGGGTGATGGGTGGGGGTGGAGGAGCGCCGAGGCCAGCGCTGACTTCCTCTCACCCCTGGGCAGTGCGGACGGCATGTATGAGGTGTCCTTCTACTCCAATGCCGTGGTCTCCTACGACGGCAGCATCTTCTGGCTGCCGCCCGCCATCTACAAGAGCGCCTGCAAGATCGAGGTGAAGCACTTCCCGTTCGACCAGCAGAACTGCACCATGAAGTTCCGCTCCTGGACCTACGACCGCACGGAGATCGACCTGGTGCTCAAGAGCGACGTGGCCAGCCTGGACGACTTCACCCCCAGCGGCGAGTGGGACATCGTGGCGCTGCCAGGCCGGCGCAACGAGCACCCCGACGACTCGACTTACGTGGACATCACCTACGACTTCATCATCCGCCGCAAGCCGCTCTTCTACACCATCAACCTCATCATCCCCTGCGTGCTCATCACCTCGCTGGCCATCCTGGTCTTCTACCTGCCGTCCGACTGCGGCGAGAAGATGACGCTGTGCATCTCCGTGCTGCTGGCGCTCACCGTCTTCCTGCTGCTCATCTCCAAGATCGTGCCGCCCACCTCCCTGGACGTGCCCCTGGTCGGCAAGTACCTCATGTTCACCATGGTGCTCGTCACCTTCTCCATCGTCACCAGCGTGTGCGTGCTCAACGTGCACCACCGCTCGCCCACCACGCACACCATGGCGCCCTGGGTCAAGGCCCTGTTCCTGGAGAAGCTGCCCCCGCTGCTGTTCATGCAGCAGCCGCGCCACCACTGCGCCCGCCAGCGCCTGCGCCAGCGGCGGCGCCAGCGGGAGCGAGAGGGCGCCGGAGCCCGCTTTTTCCGCGAAGCCCCGGGGGCCGACTCCTGCACGTGCTTCGTCAACCACGCGTCCGTCCAGGGCGTGGCGGGGGCCTTCGGGGCGGAGCCCGCGCCGGTCCCTGGGCGCGCGCGGGGCCCCTGCGGCTGTGGCCTCCGGGAGGCGGTGGACGGCGTGCGCTTCATCGCGGACCACATGCGCAGCGAGGACGAGGATCAGAGCGTGAGTGCGCGGGACTCGGGTGGGTGCGGCGGCATCTGGAAAGCAGTCGCGGGGTGGATAGACCCGCAAAGCTGGTCGGGCGGGATGCGGGGAACGTGAGGCGGCTGGGGGCTGGGGGCTGGGGCGCTGGCCAGGGTTTTGGATTGGCTTCCGGGAGGAGGCGCCGCCCGAGCTGGAGTCCTGCGGGATGACCTTGCTCTTCCTGGGGACCAGCGCCCGGTGGGGAAATGCCCCCTGCGGGCATCGCTAGTGGCGGAGGGCGGCCGGGAAGGGGAGGAGGCCCTTCTGGGTTTGCAGCTGGCCTGTCCCCGCCGCTTGCATTCCCGAGCCCAAGTTGCTAATCTTCAGCTCTTAGCACAGACTGAGTTCTTCCTGTGCCCCACGGGAGCAGGGAAGGCAAGATTAAAGGCAGTGGGAGGGTGTGGGGAGGGGGGAGGAGTGGGTGTTAAGAGGATCCAAGAGCCTGCTGGTGCAGGAGACAGTCCCAAATCAATTTACCGTTTCTGCTCTTCTGGGTCCAGGGGAATGGCCTCGTGAAATATGGATGGAGGTAGGAGAGGTGGGGCCGGAGCTTCTGAGACTCGCCCCCGGCTTTCTGCACAGCTGGCAGCTCCTCAGAAAGGGGACTCCCATGGTTTCTGAATCTGAGAGCGAGCGTGAAGAGTTGACATGCCCCTACTTTGAGTGCCCCCGCGCGCGCGCAGCCTTTGGGTACCTGGCTAGTTCCAGGCAGCTGCTCAGCTGTTGCCATGGTGACCAGTGAGGTTTCTGCTGGGTCGCTGCCATTCCAGTTTGAGGGTGAGGAAGGGGGAGCTCCTGCACCACTGTTTGGGGGGCGGGGTGGAGGACGTCAGAGCCTGGCGTTTGAGCAGGTCCTGGTGGCAGAAGAGGTGTTGCCCAGGCTGGAGGTGATGGGTGGAAGCCTGGGAGCCAGCAGAGGCCGAGTAGGGGCTGCATGGGTGGGGGTGGAGGTGCGGGAATCCAGCCAGCTTCTCACAGCCCCGCCCCTGCTGCCGTCCACACCTGTCATGTGCGTTTACCCGGCAGGGTGCCAGGGATGCAGTGACCTACTTGGCTGCCCCACCGGCATCTCAAACTCGACCTGTCCCAAACGGAGTGCTTGCTCTGCATCCCACCGGCTCCTCTCCTCATCTGCTATTTTAGTAAATGGCATCACCTTCCACCTGATGGGTCAGACTAAAAACCTGGAGTGACTCTCGACTTCTGGAGTCATTCTTTTTAAAAATACATTTTTATTGATTCTTTATTAGAGAGAGAGGAAGGGAGAGAGAGAAACACCCATGTGAGAACATGGATCAGCTGCCTCACGCCTGCTGCCTATGGAGGATCGAGCTCGCAAGCTGGGCATGTAGCCTGACTCGGACCCAACTGATAAACCTTACAGCGCACAGGATGACGCCCAACCAACCGAGCCACACCGGTGTTTTTCCTTGTTAATCCTCACCTGAGGCTATTTATTTTTTTAAAAAAAGTACTTTTGTTGATTTCAGAGAGGAAGGGAGAGAGAGAGAGAGAGAGAGAGAGAGAGAGAGAGAGACATCAATGATGAGAGAGAATCATTGATCGGCTGCCTCCTGCACACACCTCACTGGGATCTGAGCCCACAACCTGGGCACGTACCCTGATTGGGAAATGAACCACCAATGACCTCCTGGTTCATAGGGTCAATGCTCAATCTCTGAGCCACACCGGCCATGCTCACCTGAGGATATGTGTTCCCTTTGCTTTTCAGAGAGAGAGTGGGAGAGAGAGAGAGAGAGAGAAACATAGATATGAGAGAGACACATTAATTGGTTGTCTCCCTGCATGCACCCCCCATAGGGCAGGGGAATGAACCCACAACCCAGGTGCATGCACTTTGAACAGAAATTGAACCTGAAGAACATTTTGGTGCGACTGG